CGACAAGACCGCGACAAAGACATCAGCCAGATCCAGACAGCTCGGATTCCGAGCCGCAAGATAAGGACAGGGCTGATCTGATTCCGCAAAATAGTGGTTTTCATGTTCCCAGGCCAAAGTCCAGGTCATCGTTGGCGGTGAATATTCGTTTTTCCAATATGTCATTTTCCACGCTCGGATGCTTTGAATATTCAATGATGCTTCTATTTTTAGAATCAAAGCGGAATCTACAACGACGTGGAATACGACCAAGGTGATGTTCACCATTTATCGAAAAACAATATCCCGATGTCTACTTACAGGCCGTACTATCGAACGTGAAATCCCGGAAAAAACCTAGTTATATGTATATTGGTAAGGACGCTTGTACTGTGAGAAACGAGAACAAAGAGAACAGATTTATCTAGATATTTTAATCGACGTTCTAATTTATACCAATTGTTTCAATAAAACGAAAAGAATATTAATTAATCGTTGGGAAACGAGAACATAAGAGAATGAAATCAATGCACCTACTTAAGTTCGTATCATTGATCGCATCAATGTAAGTCAATCTGAGCAACTACTTAACTTCTATTTACATGTCTGTTATTCTATAAATATTTATTGTACTAGTGTTATCCTCGAAATACTTCGTAGAAGTCTAAAAAAAATATATTCAGGCTGTTTTTTAACGACCTAAGAAAAGAAAGGGTGTATAACGAACGATTAGCATGAAAACGATTGCCCCTTATTATTATGTAGTTAATACTTGTATCACGTTTAGTTATTTATATTACACGATAGAGTGACAACTATGAACGAAAATGCGATGCAATCTGACACCCAGAAAATGTTCAATCTTATTAAATTACTAACAATTTCATTTGTTTACTGTGCGTCATACTGCAATCCCCATTTTCCAAAATAATTATCACTGAATTGTTGACAGCAATATTGCATGTATGTAATGTCACTTACACAAACTTAAGAAGTTTGCTAATAATTAAGCAATCTTAAACGTAGAAATTGCATTGTAAACTGTAAGGTTTCCTTACGAGACGAGCAGAAACGTAAGGGCAGTATACTGAATAAGTATATACAAATAGGACAGTATACTCAACAATGCGTTCATTGCGTTGCGGGGTGCTAATACCATAATTCAATATGTAACTTTTGTAAGTATATATTATATATTTTTGCAAATTGAATACAGTATACATTTGAAAATTTGCGCGTCATTGCCTCTTTTTTTTTTTAATTCTCCGATGCCTACTGTACAATTCTTCTTCAACAGTGTAATACGATACATAATAAACGTAATAAACGTACGCCGGAAATACTATGCGCATACTGAGCAAAATCTTTGTTACAGATAATTTCAATAAACACCAAATATCTCGACAAAGCATGTTAAACGGAGAGAATAGAAAATTCGATTATGCTGAAAAAAGTTTGTTAAGAAATGTTACATAATAGTTTGGACGCAAAAATTCGATCGCACCCAACAAAGAGAAAGAAAAGCGGAATCATTTGGAGAATTAAACTTCGATTACCATTTTTTTTCGTTTTTCTTTTTTTTTTTTTTTTTTTTTGG